ATAGCAAGCATAGTAAACACAACCAAACATTGAATACATACTTGCATCCATGAAGTGTTCTAGGTCCCTACTAAGTTGTAGTACAAGTTTAGGGTCTTAGAAATGAGTTTGTGGTCTTAGGGTGTGTGTGTGGTCGCATACGGGAGTGTGCTGTCGTAAAAGGGTGTGTGCGGTCGTACACCCTACATGATGATGTCCAAAAATCCAATTCTAAGGTGTAGCAAAGCTAGGTTCATGTCCAACTTGAATATGGAAGTCCAACTCTCACTTTGGAGGGTCTTTTAGGAGTGTGAGGCCACCTTATGTGGGTGTGTGGCCGCACTCCTTCAAAGAGATGAAGAACATGACGGGACTCAATGATTCTAGTCTTAGATTAAGTGGTTTTCAAGCACAACAAGCTAAGAGATGAATTACTCACAATTTTAAAGCCTTGGGAGGGTTTCTGGTTGAAGAGTCTTGAGAGAAAAGGTGTTGTGTGTTGCCAGGATGTTAAAGGAATGAAAGGAAAGGGGTCTACCCTTTATATAGGGATAGGTGTGTGGCCATAAGGGGTATGTACAGTCGTACACTCCTCTAAAAGGGGTGTATGGTCCGATTTCGTCACTATATGACTTGCTGACTTGTTCCTAATCTCGACTTTGGTCATACTCAAGCTTAGAACACTTAAATGAACCCTTGAACACCATAAGAAGTCAACAAAACAAGTTTAAAATTGATTACTTTTGACTAAGTGTACAAGATAGAGGTTTCGGGTTGTCACACCAACCCAGAGAAATCACCGCTACCACATCCAATAGCGAGACTGACCGACTGACCCCATACGACTCATCCATGAAACTTCCACCAACCCTGCAGCACTCGCGTATGTTAGCCATACATAACATTGGACCCTATAGACATTCAAATATCTGATCCAACCCTAATCCCTTCATCAAACAAGAACAGGAAGTAAGGTCAAACCAAACATTCTTAGGCTACAAGACCTTAGTTATATATATAACCATGATGCATACACTAAGCAACTACTGTAATGATGTCAATTTCATAAAAGAAAGGCCTTAGGCTATCAGGTATCATATAACCAGGCAATTCTCTCATGCAATTCCTAAAGATCCCTAGCCTATCACTAGCATGTTGTTCTAACATATCACAATATCAAATAACAATATGGTATTTTAGGGTCTACTTAGTGGCTCCGGCTGATCATACAAATCACATCCTTTTTCAGTATTTTGAAAACCATTTGAAAAGCATTTTAAAAATCTTTTCCTCATTTCGAGACTGGATTTACAAAAGTGTTCCTCCAATTCACTCAAACCAAGGCTCTGATACCAACTTGTAACATCCCAAAAATCTTATAAAATTTAAACATTTCAACCAACTCTTTTTCTATATAAGTGTTTACAAAAAACGTGGTTCCTAAAACATTAATTAAAAATCAGAATCTCTTTCAACGTAGTTTTCAAAACATTCACATTATCAGAGATTCCCATAAATCATAAGTCCAAAACACGAGGATGTGTAGTTGTGTACGGTCATGCCTTCGCCTTGCCACAATCCACTGAAGTAACCGAAACCATAAACCAAACTGTAAGCGCAAAACTTAGTGAGTTCCACCAAAATACCAACACCCAAACAGAAACATATACAAATAACAACATGTATTGGGTCCACAACTAAAAGACTGGATTACCCCTTGAGCCCACAGTATGAGTCTGGCTTGCCTATCAGGCCCATAACTCATATATGGCTTGCTCTCTAGCCCACAACATAAGTCTGGCTTGCCCTTGGGCCCAAAAGCTTATGTATGGCTTGCTCCCTCAATCCTTGGATTATAATACCAATGAGTAGCCCTCAATACGAGTCTGCCATACCACTCGGTCCTCAGCTCGTGCTTGGAATGCTAATGAGTCCTTAGTATGAGTCTGGCATGTTGTCCCTGGCCCTCAGCTCATATCTGGCATACTCCAAGGTTTGTTTTCTATAACACAAAGCAATACAACCTCAACCCAACACGCACAATATGCCGACATATAATAGATAATATCATATACATATAAACAAACAATATCACATATAGTCCTACAAATCTAACATATCAAGACCAACATAACTGATATGTGCATAATTAGTTAATTATTTAGCATATATTCTTAGTTATTTTTGATTAATTATGTGAATAATGTGGACAAAAGGTACTTAAAATGTTGTGAATTGTGTTTTCAGTCTAAAAGATATGCTTGGAAGCAAAAAGGAGAAAAGGGAAGCAATTGAAGATCAAAGAGTGAAAGAAGGGGATATACTCGGCGAGTAGATCGACCCTACTCGGCGAGTACACTAGGATATTCCAGAAGATAAATACGACTGCTGATTCAAGACGGATAAGTATGGATCTACTCGGCGAGTTGATTCTGCTACTCGCCGAGTACACCCTGTTTTGGGATATTTATAAAACACGAATCCTTATCTCATAGAAAAGAACCCCTGGCGATTTTTGAAGGTTTAGCTGCGACTAAGAGATTCAGAAGGCGCTAAGGAACCCTAGGCTTCACTATTTGGAAGAATTCAAGCAATTAGGTTAATTCTACCACTTAGACTTAGGAATTGAACATGTTTGCTTTAGTAAACTTTGTTTTTATGTTTGTTTCTACTGCAATTATGAGCTAAATTTGTTTTTGTTTCTGTTTGGGGAATACCAAAGAACTCCTATGGTTTGATTATTGATTATTGCTTAATTGTCTATTGGTGATTTGTTAAATTAAGTTTGTTAAAGAACCTTATGTATTAATCACTACTATTTTCTGTTAATTGGAAGGCAATTAGGTTGCATGAACATCACTTAATTGTTAACCTCATATGTCTATGTGAATGCTAAACCATATGCTTAGAAGTAATGATTATGAAACTAAGATTAATAAGAAAATAGGAAGATTAATGTGTGAGCTTGTTTGAGAAACCATCAACAAGAGGTTAATTGAATTAATAACTTAATTGACCATTACAAATCTTATTTAATCCAAATAATTAATCTAGGGAATTAATTAGTTTAAACACTTGATCAACGCTTAAATTAGTTAATTGTCTAAGGGTTAGGATTAATGAATATGAACCTAATTATTATAATTGGTAACCAATAGCAATTAATCTATCTTAAACTTAAATAACCATAGGAGTGAATTGGTTGAACCTAAATGGAAACATCTTTATCAAATTTGGTGAATAGTTGTTGCTTTAGTTAATTAGTTAATTTAGTTTGTCTAAGTTTCTAGTCTTGCAAAACTAGAGAAAAACCCTTTACTTTTATTATTCGTTTTAGTTAAAATTAGTTATTAGTTTAATTTTCCGTTCCCTGAGTTCGATACCTTACTTATCAATCTATACCACTTAGAGACAGGTTCACTACCTTTGTGTGCTCAATTTATTAATAAAAAGTAGGGATAAAACTAGTTGGTTTTACACACATCAATAACTATACTAGTACGCATATCTATTCCATACTCGGCATGTCGACAATATCAGGTTATTAAACCAATGGGGCGACCTTGGTGCCTTCGACCCGAAAGTATAGTGATGAAGACTCACCTCCAAATCCTACAACTGCTGCTGCTGCAAAGCAACTCCAAACACTGAGCCAAAACCTAAAAAAACAAACTTCATTAATACTCATAGCTAATCCAACACAGGGCTCAATAATGGCCCAACCAACCATGCTCACTTTTAACCCAAGCCCATTGGGCCTACTAAGGCATAACTACCAACTAGGCTCTCTAAGGCCTAAATCCAAACTGGACCCACAATGCCCAACTCCAAACTCCTTAGGCCCAAACTGAGAAATTCAATCAGATCATTCCACACATGGCCCAAAACAGAAAGCCCAAACCCCAAAACCAAGTCCAAGATCAAAAGCCCAAAAGTCCACTGGTGACACGAACGCACGACATTCCCATGTGGATTGCTGGACGTTCCCCACTATACCATCCGTTGGGACACCAGACCGGAACGCGCGACGTTCCTGCCAGAAACCAAAAAAATACACAAATGACTTATTAGCTAGAAGATAAAAACTTCGAATTTGACGTCATTTGGGGCTCCGCCTCACAATTTGCCAAAACGCAACAAGCTTGGAATCTTTATTAGTTTCAACACGGTAAGCCTCAAGAACATTCTGTAGCAAAGTATTTTCATTTTCACCATTTCCGGCATCATGCATCTCCCCACGAAACACAATGGTAAACCGAGTTGCAAGTGTGTGTGCGTTTCTCCATTTGACGTAGAGTAGATATTTTCATCGTGGTTGAAGAGTTTTACGGTTGTATATGTCGTCGACTCTACTCCAAAAAGTAGTCAAAGGGTAGCCATTTTTGTGATGAGGTGTAGAAAATAATAGAAAAATAAAAAAGTTAAGAGAATAGAATTAAAAAGATTTGAATGGGTGAAGAACGAATAAGGATGAGAGTATTTATAGTTAAAATATTGAAAGTTTAAAATTTGAAATTTAAAAAAAAAAAACGGTTATATTTTTGAAATTAGGTAATTTTTGGAAAGAATATAATTTTTGAAAAAGAGGTTTAAGTAATAAATGGATTAAAAGAAAGAAAAACTCTCTCTCGTTGGTTCACCCTCACCGAGTTGTCAAATCGAACTTGGCATGCCGAGGCCTCGGCTGAATGTTCGTCGAGTTCATCGAATGCAAGCCGAATACCACACCCACCAACGTTAGACAAATAAATAACATACGTAAGGATCGAAAGGTAGGACATCAATTTTAATTTGTCATTTTATATCCATTTTTCATCATTGAAGTTTTATATTTTATAATGGGTAAAAAGTGCAAAGTTTCAAACTGTGGGCCCATCGGCGTACACATTTTCTAAGTCAAGATCTTCCATCCTACACACAACTTAACATGTTCTTCCTTAATCACACCCTAATCCCCCAATGTGAAAACCGCCTAAGAATCTCAATCTATATACAAATCGAGTGATCCTTTTCTAATTCATCCTCAAATTGCGTCCACCATCCTCCCAATTCTTAATCCCAGTTTCAATTACATAATCCTGTAATCCCTGAACATTTCAATCAAAATTAGGTCAGGGTTTTGTTGCTCATGAAAATGGCTTCCGAAGACACTGGTTTAGTTCTATCACATCGTATCGACAATAAGCACCCTCAGCTCCTCTTCCAAGACGACCCCAATTCAAGTTTCCGCTGCAACCCACCCAATCAACGGCCCGGCTCTGGACCTGATCGTCCGGCTGCCGGTGCTACTAGCAACAACAACGGCAAAGCCACTCGAGAGCTTACCGGCTTCATCGACCACCAACACCGATATTTTCAACCGGAATCCACAACTGAGTTCCGGCAGAGCATGTACAACCCTGGCTCGGTCGGTATCCAGAACTGGCATGGCGGAAATGGGAGAGCATCCGATTCTCGTAGTGGCGATGGATCGGATGGTAATGAAGATGAAGATGACGTGGAGGGGCTTGTAAATAGCAGCGATAATAAGAACAATAACAGTAGTAATACTAGTGCGCAGAGCAGTGAGAAAGAAGGGAATGCGAAATTGAATCATCTTTCTTCTTTTGGTATGATTTTCAGAAAACATTGTCATGTTAGCTTTAGATTTTCATCTGTGCGTACTCAACTTCTTTGAATGATAGGTTCGAGCAGGGAAGTACCGAAGGCGGGAAGTGTTATACCTTCAAGGAACGATCTAAATGATGCAAGACCAAGTTCAAGTGACAATCATCATCATCATCATCAAGGACAAACGAATGATTACCCAAATGCTGTTGCAGTTGTGGATCGTGATAGTGATTTATACTATTCGCAGTATCTTCATGGGGCTGAGGGTTCAGGAACAGGGCTCAAAGATATGTTGGTTGAAAATGGCTGTGGGTTTAGTGGAAGAAAGGATAGTGAATCAGGGGATTCACTGAGAACAATACTCTCAGATCCTTTAACGTGAGCTTCTTCAAATCCATTTTTATCATTCCAATCAATCAATCATTCCACAATATGTCTTGTATTGTAACAGAGGATCACTTATGGATGATGCTATGATACTCCGTTGTGGGCATTCTTTTGGAAGTGGTGGAATGCAGCATATTATGAAGATTGTAAGTTTCAATTCTAAACATTTTTATATAAATATTTCATGTTATCAGTTATCAAAATTTCTTATCATACAACACATTTTTTCAGAAGGCATGTTACACTTGTTCACATCCAGTGGTTGAAGGTTCAGTTGCTTCAAATCTATGTAAGAATATTTCAAAACCACTCAAGTATTCGATTTCACATTATAATTTTGTTAAAATTCACATTTATTGCTTAATTATATAGAAACCAATATTTAGAAAAGCAAGATTTTTCATCAAATGTTGACCAAGATATATGCTTATAGCTCTTAGAGCTGCAGTATCAGCATTTCGTAGGGAAGAAGAATCACAAGTTCACCATTCATCTAAAAGAAGAAGAGAGAGATCAGATCAGGTTTGTTTTTGTCCTTTTTTATTTTTGGAACTCCATGTTAAAGGGGTAATTTGGTAATTTAGTTTCACAGACATAATAGGAGCAAACTATATTGTATGGATTCAGGACAGGGTTAATTATGGTGATTCAATGTTCATGGACACACCACGAGGCAAAGGTCTTCAATTCCCATTTGCTGTTGCTGATCGTGTTATTATCAAGGTTTTTTTATTTTTATTTTTATTTTTAAAAACTTCCATTTTAGATGCATAAATGTCTTTTTTAATTTATTTATTAAATTTAAGAAGAATGAAAACAGGGCAACAAGAGGACTCCAGAACGTTTTGTTGGCTGTGAGGCTGTTGTCACAACTCAATGCTTGAATGGATGGTTAGTTATTTTTTATTTTTTTATTTTTTTAATGGAGAATCTGTATATGCACAATTAAATATTATGTTTTTATGTATTTTGTTCTCAGGTATGTGGTGAAAACGTTGGATAATGCAGAGAGCATTAAAGTCCAATATCGCTCATTAGCTAAAGTTTCTGATAATTCGTCATCACAGCAAACATCAAGTAAGATAACACCCAATTGGCTCTAAACCCATGTGGCATCTTTAAATGTATGTGTGTGTGTGTTCTAAAGATAATTGTGTAGCAAGTTTTGCATATGTGACTGATTCTTATACGCAAAAGAAGCATATACGTAGTAGTGTACATGTGTTGTAAATTGTAGAAAATTTCACACCAAAACTTGATGAAAGAAAAATGGGGTTTATTATATATTTTGTCTTATGCAATGGCTTGGGATTATGAGGCCGTTGAGCTAATTAAACAATTTGTAGTCATGGAAGGATAGTGTGAAATTGTCATCTTTATTTTTTGTGTGATGGAAAATAAGGGAATATGTTTATACATATCTTAATATATATCAAGGAAATGGTACATTAATACAAGTGGTAAGGCCATCTGCAATACTTGTCACGAGCAACACAACGACGAAGACCAACACGAAGCACGAACCGGTGGTGGTGTACCAGTGATGAGCACGAACGGAAAGAGAGGAAGAAGAGGGCTGGCTGAGAGAGGCAACTTTGTGGTCCTCCGTCTTCCCCACCACGATCATTTCTACTATCTATGTGAACGATCATTTCTACTATCTATTGTGTGCATGTATGATTGATTCTGGAACAATCATTTTAGTTATTTTAAGAAAGTAATTAATGCTAATGCATATTAAATGTTAAAAATTTAATTAACACTCATTATATCTTCAACGTGTAATACGTATTAATTACTTTTTTAAAATAACTAAAATGATTGATCCACAATCCAAAGCGTCGAAATTTAAAGCGATATTATAGTTATTTCCTTTCAATAATTACTTTCACTCATTCTCTTTTCATTTTTCAAAACCCAAGAAATGGTCATTTGCTATTTCTTTCATTTTTTTTATTTAAAAAAAATATATATTTTTTTATACAAACATTACCATAAATTTTAATATTTTTTTATAATTTTTTAGTATATATAATTTCATAAAAAATGAAAAAGAAATAGAAATAAAAACTACATTGAAATGGCTCCAGCCGATCAAGAGAGGAGCGGTGAGGAGCTGCCACACCCCCAAAAGTGCACCCTAAACCGCAACTAGGGTATGGTTTTCCTAGGTTCGGTTGCAACTACATTTCACCTTGTATATACACCCTCCGACTTAAGAAAGTTCTATAAATGTATTAGAAGCTTAAAAGTCTCAAAAAGATGGAACCAAATTGGTTATATGCAATATTCTTGGCCAATAAATCAAAGTAGCCTGTTATAATTGGATAAAATGGTAAAGTAGATTGCTATTTTACGAAATGTTTGTACAATCATTGAAACATACTTTGTAAATGGAAAGTAGTGCATGAAATTCATAATGTAACATTTCCTAATCATGATGTAAGCTCATAAAAGCATGGAGAATCTAAAAGCAAGTGAATTAATGTTATTTTCGGTTTTTAAAGTATATTACTTGGGTTTTCGTGTAAAGGTCTTGTCATAGTACATGATTTCAGTTTATTCTTGATTCAAATGTGTATCCAATAAAAAGAAGAATAAGTATAAAAATGAATTAACCCATTTGGAGTTGTAACGAAGAAGTTATGATTCAGACAAGATGAATGTGCTTCCATGGTCGGTCTGAACAAGTGTGGCCATTTGGGCCTTTTATTCGTTCTAATTAGTCTGAGTTTGGGATCATTATGTGCGGTCTATACACTAGAATATCTCTTCCATGTTGATCGGGTTGGAAGTGGTTGACTTTTGGGTTTAACTGCCATTTCCCCCCTTATGCACCCATATGACCCTTATACACCCATTTGACCCCCAATGCATTTAGTTTATAAAACTACACCGAAATGGTATGATCCCTCAAGTACAAAAATTTATTTCTGATAAGCAGTAAACACTATTGAATCATCAAAATTCTCAAAAGCTTTATTTAACTCATTCCAAATAATGTAAGCGTATTTATCTAAAACATGACATTCATAAACATTTCCAAAAACATAGACAAGAAACCATGATGCCACAACCACATTAGCTATATCTCATTGTCTTGCTTTAATTTCACCATCCTGAGTTATAATCAATGTTGTAAAAATTCCGACTAGGTGTCAATTAATCCCTAGGTGTTACTTGACCGACTACAGACTGCCTAACGATTAATCCATGCATACATAATATGTGAAGCAGTAGAAAACGATGAAATTTTGAACACTTTGAAAGCTCTATCTTAATAGAAACTATTTGAGGAATAATTAGTGTTGTATTAATCATATTAACCTAATAGTGGTATTTATGATTCTTTTAATAATATTAGTCATATTTAATTTTTTAAAATTCAACAAATTAGCAATTAATGGCCTCCGATTAATCACCACCTAATCGATTAATCTTTTAACATTAGTCCACCGACTAGCTAACGTCGAAAGTTTTTTACAACCTTAAAATTGGGTATAAGATAGTCTAATAGAAGTATCCCCCTAATACTATAACTGTTCCATACTCATAATAAAATTTAGAAAAAAATCTAATACCCAGTCTCATAACCATAACCATTTACTAGACCCAAAACTCATCCAAAAAAATTTCGGATTCTGTTTTACCGTTGGGTTTAGATATTATGGACTAAACCTATATGGGTCGTATTGGTGCCACAAAAATTGAAACCAAATAATTCACGAAGGCTCGAAGGAGTGGTGACATTGTTAGTACCTTGCAACCTACGATTTTTTTAGAAAAAAAACAAACAACCAATAGTTCTACAATTAAAAAGTAAACAACCAATAACATCCTAATAATATTTCTTTAACTTCTCGCTGAGTCCATAACGATCCATACTTAGTGAATCAAGTAGCGAATATTAAAGGAGTGACTTAACATTAGTTAGCAACTTTTTGGCAAGAGGGGTGGTGAGGCCAATCCTCTAGCCTAAAACTAAACAAATTTATATTTTGTTTTTTCTATCTGAATTATTCGGTTTGATTAGCCTAATAAATTCGGTTTGACCGGTTTGGTTATTTTCTCCTAATTCAGGTTAATTAATTAATTTGAATAATACATTGATTAATAGGGTGTTTGACATAAAAGTCATTAAGTTTGGTTAGTTTTACTGTTTGACAATTTTTTGTTCGTTAATTCCCAAAGTTTTTTTAGGCGTTCAAAAATAAAATCCCAAAGTTTCAATTTATTATTATTATTTTTCCATTTTGCCCTTGTTTCTTGTAATATGATTTTTTCATGAAAACTGACAAAATTTGACAAGTTTAAGGTTTCATGTTCAATTAAAAAAAAAAAGGCAATACCATAAAAATCACAGTATTTTCACACGTATTTGAGAAAAGTCATATTATTTTTTTGGTTGGCTATGACCACAAATGGGACGTAGAGTTATCACTCTAGCAAATTTAACGATTTTCATGGTTAACTTTGTACTTTTTTTTTGCAAAATCAGTCATAAAAGTTTAAATTGGTCCCTGTAGTTTGCAAGAAAGTACACATGTCCAAAACTCGGTTTTATGTTTTTTAACTTCTTTATTTTCATTTATTTTTTATTTTTCAGTCAAAACAAAACTTGAATTTTATATTTTTTTTGTTACATATATATATATATATATATATATATATATATATATATATATATATATATATATATATATATATATATAAACTTCTTTTTTTTTTTTTTATATTCATCTATTTTTTATATTTTTTTTATGTATTCTTTTTCATTTTTTTTTGTTTTTTGTTTTTTCTTTATTTTGTTATTTTTTTTTTAGTAAACCAAAAAAAACTCAAACACCAAAAATGTAATATATACTCTAATACATTAATACACTTTACACTTTTGAAAAAATATCAAAAGAAATGATCAAATTGATGAAAAATAAAACGAAACAAAAATATGAATAAAAAACAAAAAAAATACGAAACAAATACTAAAAATATAAAAAAATATTGATACACTTTAAACTTTGAAAAATATCAAAGAAGTTTTCAAATTGACGAAAAACAAATCGTAAAAAAAAAACTAAAAATATAAAAAAGTATAAAAAACGATAAAAATATATAAACAAGTTTAGTTTTGAATAAAAAATAAAAATAAATGAAAATAAATAAGTTGAAAAACATAAAATCGAGTTTTTGGACATGTGGTGCAATTTTATGAAAACTACAGGGATCGAATTTGAATTTTTAGGACTGATTTTGCTAAAAATTTAATAGAGTTAGTTAAGTGATTAGAGTAATAACTCTATGTCCCATTTGTGGTCAGACCCAACCAAAAAAGAAAAATAAATAAGATTTTCTCAATTACGTGTGAAAATTTTGTGACTTTTTGGGTATTTGCCCTAAAAACATACAAGATTTATAAACTAAGGTTATTTATTTATTTATTTATTTTTGCAAAATTTAAAAACATACTTAGGATAAAAACTTACAAGATTTGTAATAAAGGGCAAAAATAATTTATTTTATTTTATTTTTTACGAACTTTGGTATTAACAAACAAAAAATATTATTGGTATAAAACTGACAAAACTTGTCAAACTTAAAAGTTTAATGTCAAAAATGTTTATTAATATTATTAAAGTTTGTTTTATTTGGTAGTATGTATGAGTAAGTATTAATAAACTTTAGGAGCATATTTTACATGTATTTAGTTATAGAAAAATGAATTGTTATTTCAAAAAAAAAAAAAAAAAAAAAAATATTAGGTATTCCAAAATTACAAAGGATTTAGAAAACTGATTATTATTATTTTTCAGACTTTTTAAATTTTAAAAGTATATAAAATATAAATACACATAGCCATCCTATAGCTATTCCCCACATCCATCCCTTCACCCAACATTTATACTCTCTTACACCTAGACCCCATTCACATACCTATCCACACCCAACACTCATACCTCCATATACCGACCTCACATGGTAATCACACCTACTACAACACTCATACCCCAGTACACCCACCCCTATCCACTCCATCTTTACCCTCCACTTATCAACACCTACACTCCGACATCCCTACCCACATTCCAACCCCCACCGACACCCACACTTATGAATTCATAACATCTATATTATTGGTGTGTATGGTGAGGTTGGGTGGGTGGGGGTGGGGTGGTCTGTGTATGTGTGTTGCATTGTATTATTTCAAATAACCAAAACTGAAAATAAAATCCGATAGAAAATACACATCTGACATATTTTATAATTTCTATATTAGACAAAGTATTTTAGTCTATATTAGATTACTTGAATAGTTAGAGGAGGCTAACTGTAAATATGAATTCTACTTTTATTCCTTTGTATCTTTACGCGTATGATATACAATATACAATTTACCCAAATTAATTTGGTATCAGAGCTAGCCGGCCCTACCCTCTGCGATAACATCTTCTTTTTTCTCCTGTCTTTTTCTTTAGCTCACCATGGTAATTCAATCCTTCCTAACAACAGAAAAACACTCGTACAACTCACACAAATTTGCTTTCAC